ATGTGGTCCACTCGGAGGATCAGGGCTTAGGGGCCGCCCTGTTCCTCCCTTAGCTCTTTGCTTTTACATGGTGCCTGGCCCTCCGGGGTTACATGGATGGACAGGGAAGGAAGTGTGTATTGGCCGGGACACCCGAGAGCCCAGAAGAGAACTAAGGGGTTGGCTGGGGCATTGTTATGGCTCAGACCGACCCCTGAAAGCTTGGCTAGCACATAACTTTTTGATTTTTTTTAATTCTCTATCTTTTATATTTGGTTTAGTTTGATATCTACAGCTGCTCATCAGGTCTACGGGAAGTATTAAAATTGAAAGAAAGGTCTACGTCATCAATCAACGAATATTTAATAATTGACTATAATCAAAACGAAGTTTCGTTCGATCAATATGACGTTACCATTAATAATGGCGCAATTTATGAAGTTGACGTAAGAAACGCAGTTTACGACATTATAACGAAAAAAAATAAGATGTACATTGTTATCACAATAATTACGAACATTGATATAGCACCAAAATCCGCCTAAAAAGACGCTGAAGGCGCTGTTCAAGTTGAAAGTATTAACAATTATTATAACATTAAATTTAAGAAAAATAATTGTAATTATAACGTGGAAAGGTGTGAAATATCAATACAAAGAATTAAAATGTCAAAGATAAAAATAGTCAAACAAGAAAAGCCGACTAAACAAAAGGCCAATAAACGCAACAAAACATGAAAAATAAACAAGAAAAAATAAAAATACACCCCTATAAAAATAGCAAAACTCCAGTTTGTATAGACAGGAATCATATATGAAAAAAATATTAAAGAATCCAGTGGCGTATCCAGCGGGAAAGGGGGGGGGGAGCACTTTCCTCCCCCTGGCGGATTGTTTTTGACAATTTTTTTGTGTCAGCAATGATTTAAATAAATGTTTATAGAGTTCTTCTGACAGCAATCCCACCAAAGAAAACCCGCTCAAAACCAGTGCAATGCGCAGTGATAATGTCCATATATATGTAGTATGCATAATAATGGTCAGTTTTGAAGAGCGCCCCCATTTGGAAGATGGGAACCAGCCAACAGCCCCCGCCCTTAACCCCCCCCCCCCCCCCCCCATTTTGATTTTGCGGGGGCCACGTGTCCGGAGAAAAAAAACATGTCTACATTTCGGCGCGGATGTGCGGTTGCCCCCCCCCCCTCCCCCCCCCCCCCCCCGACATCCAAATTAAATACACAGATTATATACACATACCCCACTGTCGGAGCAGGGACGGGGGGGGGGGTGGTTGCATTATTTTTAGGTAAATTCTACAAAAGTGTTTGAGAGAGCTGGGGGTTGCCCCCCCCCCCCCTCCCCTTCTGGATCCGCGCCTGGGTTACTCTTGTACGTGTACAGTGCTGGTGTGCCGGCGCGACGTCAGACCATATTATACGTCCTGTCAAAAAATGGGGGGTGGTTGCAGAGTCAGGGGCGGATCCAGGAATTTTTACAGGGGGGGGGGGGTTCATCGTCCAAAAAATCTGAAATGTAGACAGGATTTTTTCTCCGGACTAGTCTTCAACTCCAAAAATCAATAGGTGGGGGTGGAGGCTCATACTATACTTTCAATGGGGGAGCTGCTCAAATCTTGCGATTATTAACACTAGATGTGGCCTGTTTTCGAGTAGTATAATCGGGGTGTAAGTGGGCCCCCCCCCCAAAAAAAAAAAACCCAATTATTTTCTGCCGAGAGAAATTTTGGAAAAAATACAAATAAAAAAATTAAAAAAAAATGAAGGCCCCCCCCCAAACCGAAATCCTGGGTGCGCCACAGTACTGAGCTGGCTCTGTCCGTATTTTGTGCAAAGGCGGACATGTATTCCCAGTAAAAAAATTTGGGGTATCAGAGCAGGGGGGGGGAGGAGACTTTCACATGTTTTATCATAATTTCGATGTAATTTTTTTTTTTGGACAGCGCAGAGGGGACCCCCTCCGAATCCGCGCCTGACAGTCGCAAATTGCAACGGGCTACAGGCGGGCACGCGCGAAGCAAAATGGGGCCGGCAACATCGGCTGACGGAAAAAGTAAAAGTAAGTGTAAGTGGCCCCCCCCCCAAAAAAAAAAAAAAAACCCAATTATTTTCTGCCGAGAGAAATTTTGGAAAAAAAAATTTGAACAAAATTCAACTTTTAACAAATAAAAAAAAAAAAAAAAAAAAATGAAGACCCCCCCAACCGAAATCCTGGGTGCGCCACAGTACTGAGCTGGCTCTGTCCGTATTTTGTGCAAAGGCGGACATGTATTCCCAGTAAACAAATTTGGGGTGTCAGAACAGGGGGGGGGGGGACTTTCACATGTTTTATCATAATTTCTATGTAATTTTTTTTTTTTTGGACAGCGCAGAGGGGACCCCCTCCGAATCCGCGCCTGACAGTCGCAAATTGCAACGGGCTACAGGCGGGCACGCGCGAAGCAAAATGGGGCCGGCAACATCGGCTGACGGAAAAAGTAAAAGTAAGTGTAAGTGGCCCCCCCCCAAAAAAAAAAAAAAAAACCCAATTATTTTCTGCCGAGAGAAATTTTGGAAAAAAAAATTTGAACAAAATTCAACTTTTAACAAATAAAAAAAAAAAAAAAAAAAATGAAGACCCCCCCCCAACCGAAATCCTGGGTGCGCCACAGTACTGAGCTGGCTCTGTCCGTATTTTGTGCAAAGGCGGACATGTATTCCCAGTAAACAAATTTGGGGTGTCAGAGCAGGGGGGGGGGGGGACTTTCACATGTTTTATCATAATTTCTATGTAATTTTTTTTTTTGGACAGCGCAGAGGGGACCCCCTCCGAATCCACGCCTGACAGTCGCAAATTGCAACGGGCTACAGGCGGGCACGCGCGAAGCAAAATGGGGCCGGCAACATCGGCTGACGGAAAAAGTAAAAGTAAGTGTAAGTGGCCCCCCCCCCCCCAAAAAAAAAAAAAAAACAATAATTTTCTGCCGAGAGAAATTCTGGAAAAAAAAATTTGAACAAAATTCAACTTTTAACAAATAAAAAAAAAAAAAAAAAAAAAAAAGAAGACCCCCCCAACCGAAATCCTGGGTGCGCCACAGTACTGAGCTGGCTCTGTCCGTATTTTGTGCAAAGGCGGACATGTATTCCCAGTAAAAAAAATTGGGGTGTCAGAACAGGGGGGGGGGGACTTTCACATGTTTTATCATAATTTCTATGTAATTTTTTTTTTTTGGACAGCGCAGAGGGGACCCCCTCCGAATCCGCGCCTGACAGTCGCAAATTGCAACGGGCTACAGGCGGGCACGCGCGAAGCAAAATGGGGCCGGCAACATCGGCTGACGGAAAAAGCGTGTCATCACGTCAGTCGGCAGCGATGAAGAGCGCCACCTGCTCTCCGCTTTGAACAGTGTCCTTTTATGGGTGCAATAGACTGCCATATAATAGATCCCAATGATAAATGCCCCCCCACTTCAGAAAGTCAGAAAAATACGCACAATTTACCATCCAAGGTGTTCAAGACACACATCAAAATTAAACCTTATTTTTATCATCTTCAAATTTTCGTCATTTCAATTTTGGGGGGTAATCTAATGACTTTTGGGAGAAATTTCCATCCAAATATGATCACCCCTTAAAATATAGTTCTGAAGCCCATCGCCATTTTGAAAAACGTTGCCTACACTCCATTGCTAAATAGAGCGCTTTTAAGGCTCCAATTTCATACAAATTGTACAGAAATACAAGCTCACGTTTCAGTGCACGGCTTCCACCTTTTTTTTGGTACGAACTCTCAAGTTCATGGCCCACAATATGCTCAAATACCGAAGAATTTCAGGGCATGCAAATCGTGATTTGGCCGGCGTAGGCAATTTTGGACCGATTTACCGGCCTGCACCTAGACTGTTTCCCGGCCCCATCTCAAGATATTTTTGAAGACCACCTGAGGACAATGGGGTCTGGGAAACAGACTAGCCCGCACCCTTTAAAAAGCTGCAGCAACACGTCTTTATATATAGGCCACGATAAGTTACCCAGAATGCCATCCTCATTTCCTTCGCAAGATTCTGTGAAGCTCATCATAACCCTTCCCGGCTCAGCGCCCTATATATAGGTCCGGTTTGCAGGGCGGGGGTATACGAGCGACGCGCTATCGTAAAGGATGTACATCGGTATCGTGAACAGCGCCGCGCCCCTAATGTAATTTTGTGTCCTGGTGTAATGTTGTTTTCGTCTACATTGAAATATTCGGGGTTTTTTTAATTGAAGGATTCAACTTGCTGAACATTCAGATTCTTTTTCACGTAAATAATGTTTGATAATTAACAGGCTGATGAAAGGCTGTTGGGAACAGCGAACTTCGGAATATAGGCCTGATTTTCAGTATTAACAAACAAATCAGTAAAAACAATTATCGTTTCCTTTTTTAGAGACGTTCGTGCCATGTTAAAAGGGTAGTGACGGAGTTGAGAATCTGTATCTGTCCAATTTCCAAATACAGAGAATAGCAGTCAGGCGCGGATCCAGAGGGGGTCGAACCCCCCATCAACCCCGGCTCTGATACACACAGAATTTATATAGGTTATAAATATACTACCGGACTGACCCCCCCCCCCCCCCCCCCCCCCCCCCAACGCACCTGATGCCTGTTTCATTGCAGTTTGTTGATCACACACCCTTGCACGTTAATACAAAGTGCAACTTTTTTCGGTAGCATTTTTCGGTTGCATAATTTTGTACACGTTATCACTGCGGTTTATGGCTGGATTGCTAAGGAATTTCTGTACTGATTGAGCAAGATGGGCCCAGTAGGTTTTGAGTTTAGACAAGACAGTTTGGAATTGCAGCAGCGCGCAGGCTCCTTTTGCTGCCCACCCAGAGCTTCTTCCTATGCAAAACAAAAGATAAAAAGTAATTATAGCCACGATGTAATGAGTAAATTGTTTGGTTCTGTAGAAGAAAAGAGAAATGGACAACTACGGTTGCCGTCATTTCCTCCGAGATAATTCATGCATTTTGGTGAGCCGGGTAGTTGCAGCATTTGGACTACAGAGGGCGCAGTTTAGTAATTCAACATGGCGGCGAACTTGAATCCCCCTTCTCATTTTTCCCAGCCACTTGTTGATCCAGAAAAGAAAGGTTTGTAATGCTATATTGCTAACCATGCTAACAACATTTGCAGAATACCCCGCCACTCGGAAATACACCCCTAAAATCTCTGGCTACGCGGATACGGAGTGGGAGTCCCCTTGAATATGCTTGAGAACGAAGCAACACAAACATGACATTGACAAACAATGACAAAAGGAATGGGATTGGGAGTTGCTGAAAATTTTTTAAGTCCAAACCAACTACCCTGTTGGCGGCTACCACCAGGGTTACGCGGATACGGAGTGGGAGTGCAGTGGAGCATGACGCAAGTAGTGCTGATGAGAAGGTTTAGTGAGGGCAATCAGTACTCCTAGAACTATGAGGCTCCGCGTGAGCGGAGCCTCATAGATCAAGAAGCCCGCAAAATTGCCTGCAGCACAAAACACTAATAAAGTACAAAAACGTCCATCAAAATGCAGCCATTTCACACAGAACCGCTGCACAGTTTGCCCCTATACTCCGTACTTTATCTCTTGACATACTCACGTATCTTGTGCGGAACTAACATAGGTGGATTCTGTCGGTTTTTAGGCCAAAATGATGAAAAATATGCCCTTTCCGCATTGAGCCAACCTGACACTTGAAACGTGCACGCATTATGATCGAGCGATGATTTTTGGTTCGCTCGGAGCGCGCCGCGGGGGGTATGGTACATGCACTTGTACGCATGCACATCATTTCGCTTGTACCGTACCCCCCGCGGCGCGCTCCGAGCGAACCGAAAATCATCGCTCGATCATATGCGTGCACTTTTCAGGTGTCAGGTTGGCTCAGTGCGGAAAGGGCATATTTTTCATCATTTTGGCCTAAAAACCGACAGAATCCACCTATGTTAGTTCCGCACAAGATACGTGAGTATGTCAAGAGATAAAGTACGGAGTATAGGGGCAAACTGTGCAGCGGTTCTGTGTGAAATGGCTGCATTTTGATGGACGTTTTTGTACTTTATTAGTGTTTTGTGCTGCAGGCAATTTTGCGGGCTTCTTGATCTATGAGGCTCCGCTCACGCGGAGCCTCATAGTTCTAGGAGTAGGCAATCAGCCGTGACTCCGTAGCCGGCTACGGCTCCAGTACGAGGTGGACAATGGTGGATAGATTGAGTCATGTGAGTGGCGGGGTATTCTGCAATTGTGCCCTTTTTACTTTATTTTAGAACATGTAGGCTAAGGCCTACCACTTTCCATGCTTTCTGATGGCTGACAATTCATTGCAGGGAAAAACTAGTGGCATAGGCCTACGTTAATTTCATTTTTTGATCTGCGGCATAATATTTTAAGTCAAAACATGGCGATCGTGCAGTAGGGGGACGTCTCTATAGTCCGAAGTACCATTGGTTCGAAGTACCATTGGTCCGAAGTACTATTGGTCCGAAGTCCCATTGGTCCGAAGTCCCATTGGTCCGAAGTCCCATTGGTCCGAAGTCCCATTGGTCCGAAGTCCCATTGGTCCGACAGCCCATTGGTCCGACAGCCCATTGCTCTATACATTCCATTGGTATAAACGTCCCATTGGTCCGAAGTCCCATTGGTCTGAAGTCCCATTGGTCCGAAGTCCCATTGGCAGTGATTGGTCCGACGCCCCATAGGATTAGGGTAAGGGTTAGGGTCAGTCAACCTGAACAAGTCAAGTGGAACTACACAGTAGGCCCCCTATTATGTTTCGGACCAATGAGACTTCGGACCAATGGGACTTCGGACCAATGGGACTTTGGACCAATGGTACTTCGGACTATCGAGACGTGACCATCGTGTAGTGTAGGGCCCCTGTTTTGTTTTGATCAAATTAGAATCAAGATTTGTTTTTATTACTAAAAATTGACATTGTTTACCTAAAGCGGACTTCTCTCAATGTTATGGCACCTAAGTTTTTGGTAATTTTTCAACAGTTTCTTGGGGTAGAAATTTCGATTTTCCTATGCGGTTTACGGGCCGGTTGGTGCATGCCGTGTAGCGCGACTTGCGTGCTCACGGTACACATTGTACATCGTGCGTTGACCGCCATCTTTATTTTCTTGTTGCGTTTTGTCGTTGTCATCGTCATTTTACCCCCAATTTCCCTCAAAAAATCAAAAACCTTCCTTATATCTATGACATATGCCTACCTGTATACTTGAACTACATGTAGTTTGGTAGGCCAAATAATTTAAAAGTGGATTTTGCTCTCTTATTAGGAACAGGGCCTGTAGATACACGATCTCCCAAATGTCCCCCCCCCCCCCCCACGCTGCCCCAGGTCCGATGTCGGGATTTGGTCACGTTTTTCATGCCCCAGGGTGGGGATTTCGGTCACTCAAATAACATTGTAAACATTGGCGTTCTACATTGTACATGGAAAGACAAGATTTTCACTAGTGCGCACCACGTATGTACATGTATGTCATTGTCTAGTCCGAAAATTTGGGACTTTCAATACTGTGTATGAGAGTCCAAAAACTTAAGGTATTAAAAACATGCAAAACAAGAAATAATGAGGACCTTTTCTTTTGCCAAATGGAATTTTTGGAGAAATTTGCTGGCTAAAGAGTGAGTAAAGTTGGCCTGATGTAGTTTTGCACGTTTCAAAGCACTCCAGAGCCCCATCTGGTCATTGTCAGGCATGGTCGGGGATTGTCACTAAATTTTGCCCGAGGGGTGGGGATTTTGTCACTTCAAAAGTGACAATCCCCACGTCTTGGGTGGGGCAGTGGGGGGGGGGGGAGGGGGGAACAATTGATAGGCGCATAAAAGCTAGGGCAAATTCCGCCCACCCCCCCCCCCCAAGATTTCGGCAATCGAGTGACGAAAAATTATGAAACATGCATAGGCCTACATGCATAGAACGAGCTACATGTACAATTCGTTTGTCGACCCTGGCCAAAAAAAATTTTATTACAGATTTGAACAGAGCACAATCTCAGCATTAGGCCTACTGATGTGAAAACCGCATGCTGGCACCATCTTTAGTTAAAAAAAATATGGAAGTTGGAACACCAAGAGATGTGATTAAGCTGTTAAGTGATGTGATGAAGTGGCTCAATTTTGGCCTTGTATCCAAATAAAAATTCCCGATAAATGACTTATTTAGCTTGATCGCATCACATACTCAAGACATTTCATGGCTGTAGGTCAAAGGGTTTTGCAATTATGGCTAATTATTTTATTCATATGCATGAATGGTAATTCTGATTTGTGTACACTACGTACATGTACAATGTAGATGGGGGAAATTCATTTTTTTGCGCGAGAAAACTTTTCGCTGTGCGGCAACCCATGGTCCGAATTTTATGTTTTTGGTATCAAAAGATGCGCAAGACTTGAGGCTAAAAAGTCAGAACAGCTCGGGTCGCGATTTTTGTTTCCAAGGCTATTGCAGATTCCACCCCCCCCCCCTTCCTTTAGGGTTAATGAAAATCTGAATGCTATAAAAATCGACACCTTTTCTGTTAAATACACCATCTCACGTGACCATGGTCCCTCTCCAAATTAATTATGTATGCATAAGCATGGGCAATACCACCAATGAGTCCGTATTTCATCAAACCTAAAATCAAGCTACACCAGCTGTTGCTTGACTTCAGTAATCCTTGGTGTATATTGTGCCCTCATGTGTACGTAAAGTACACAATAGTAGTGTATAAAGAGTTTCTCAATTGTCTTCCTTTACACTTTTTCATGTCTGTCTTTCCCTCCTCAGCTCCAGGAAGTCGCTTGCTGCCTCCCTCCTCCTTCCAGAGCCGGGATGCTGCTGATCCATGGCAGGCCTTGACCAAAGCCAAGGGCAAAATTGATCAACTTCAACAAGAGAATGAACTCCTTCGGTAGGCCTAATTGTTTAACTTCGAAGAAGTTCAGTCATGTGAAATTTTTTGAACACAAACTTGAAAACAGATCTGTAAAGTGATTGATTACAGAATGCTTGCTGTTATTATTAAAAGGGTTTTATATTTCAAGGTTGGACATGCATACATTGTACTTTGCAGTGTTGACCTTAATAAGCACCTTAACCCTAACCAACTCCCTAGGCCTTTTTGCTAGGATGTAGCCTCAATCCTGCAAAATCCTCCAATTGGCCTCAAGGAAAAATAGCATTTCCTCAATCCGGCAAATTCCTCCATCAAACATATTTCTTGAATAAGGTCCGCGGAGGGGTGAACACTGCCTGAATCCTGCAAAATTATGCGGCAGTGACTGTCAATATGTTGAGACTTGGCCAGTGACATCCTGAAGAAGTGCGGAGGATTTCAAGCATAATCCAGGCCTGTATTTATGCATGGCTGAGCAACAACAACACAAGGTCCGGCCCAAGACTTTGACAAAGTGCACCCTTTGAAATCAGTAACGCACCTTGCCATGTATGTAACCTCAATCCTCCAAATTCCTCCACTTTGGCGAAGAAGATTTTGAAGGATTCAGGGCGGTTAGCATGGTTAGGGTTAAAAATGTGTGGTTCTATCAACCACATTTAAGGTGGGACTTAACTGTAAAAGCGAAATTGTATTTCATTTGCAGAAGTTCAAAACCACAGGAAAAGGCAGTTTCAACCGGACAAGAGACCTGTGAACATGTAAGTTCTTTTCATATGACTTAGCAAGGCAATCTCTGTATTATTTACATAGACTGCTTATTTTTTTAGCTTGTATTGAAATCAAGAAGAAGTTGTTATTAACTTCAACTCAGTCACACAACTTTTTCCAAATGAACATTGTAAAAATGTCACCAGCTAACATTTTTTTACCAATTCTAGTTGATAAGATTTGTTATTGAAGTTGGTAAAATATACATACATGTAACTTGTGGTGACATCCGACATGTAACTTGCAGTCCTCCCCCCCCCCCCCCCCCCCCCCCCGATGATTTATAGACCAATACCAATTGCCTACTCTTTGTGGCTTTCCACCGTTACTGGAATGCTCCAAGTTTGAAGCTCAGGCGACACCCAGGCATTGATGTGTTCAGAGATACACACAATCATGAAACGCGTGTGATGAGCATTTACGTGTGGAAGTGTTCCAGTAATGGCTACTAGAACAGTCACTGTCATTTCAAAATCGGATTGTTGTATAAAACAAGATTTGTTTTTACGACATTTGATGGATCGCTTAATTACATGAAAATCCACAACATTTGTCCTGATAATTTCCTAGCCCTGCAAAGCAATCTCAAGAGCCCCCGTAGAGCCGCCTCCACCTGCCCCACCGTCCCCCCTCCCTGCACACCAGTTCCTGCACCTCCAGCACACTGCCGACATCCTGAGCAAGCAGGCCACTGAGCTGGCCCAGGTCAGGTCGGAGGTCATGACCTTGAGGTCACAGCGGCAGAGAGAGGTCGGGGAGCTGGAGGAGAAGCTAAGGGAAACGGAGGTCAGGTATAGAACAGAGACAGCGACTCTTACAGCAGCAAGGAAATGCCAAGAGGAAGAACACACGGCACAGGTAGCCACATCAATTCAACCACACTTACTGAAATTTGTATTGTTGAGGAGACATTTCTTTGTTCTCGTGCAGTAAAGTTTTTGAGTTTGAAAGTGAAACTTAATATTCCTTTCCTAAAACTCTTCCATTTGCGACAGATCAACCCACCTTGGAAATTCCTAGTTTTTGAGTAAAATCCATATATCTATTTCGTGAAAATCTAGTGGAGATGTATTCATCTATAGAAATTGCCCTTTGGAGATGTATACAATATTTTGTTCCCTATTGTGTGCACGTCTCGAGAGGGCACGGTGTATCGGATCAATACAGGGTGTGTCAAGAAAAGCGGAACCCTAATGTCGGTACTATTGTTTAAGTGAAGTTCTGCATGTAGCACTTTCAATATCTAGGATATGAAAGCCCAATTCATTTAAGCTTTCTTTTAGTACAAGAATCATTCAAATCACTCCTGTGTCCAAGTTATGGAATTTTCAACACAACCAGTGTTTTAGAGTTCTGACCTCAGATCACAAAAAAAGTGTGCGTTCTTTCAGCAAAACGAAAACAATTCACACACATCTGTATGTGATTTGTTTTTGTTTTGCTGAATACCTTCTTGTGATCCATGGAAAGAACTTTAAAACGGTGGTTGTATTTAAAATTCTGTAACTTGAAAAGTACAAGAGTGATTTGAATCATTCTTGTGCTAAAAGAAAGCCTATGAATTGGGCTTTCATATCCTAGATTTTGAAAGTGCTACATGCAGAACTTCTCTAAAACGATGGTCCCGATATTTGGGTTTCGTTATTTTTACTCACCCTGTACGATAACAATTTACAGTGGCACCATGTGACAAATCTCTTTTGTGAGTTTGTGAGGTTCTGAAAAGAACCGGAGGAACTTAACATTTTTGGGCAGTATGCTCTGGCCGTTGTCAGGAGACTGAAGGGATTCCAACAGTGAAGGGGTGTTACAGTTGTCTGGAAGCAGTGAAGCTAGTGAAGGATGAAACAAGGGGGTCCTAGCGAGCAGCTAGGAGATGCTGCATGATCAATCAAATCAGTTTTTACATTTTTTTTTTTGGCAAAAATATTAAATTAGTTTTCTGATGAGTAATTTTTATATAGGCACATCTCCATGAGCAAGATAGTTTAACGTTACAGTTTTGCACTTTTGAAGCCGCGTATACACAGCCCTACAAGCGCCATGCTAGTAAATATTGGGGGCCTCGTCGAGCAAAACACAACTGTCTAACGACTTGTCCTCAAGTCTACGATGTTGTACAGTGTACTACAATTGCCTCTCCACCCATGCTACCCAGGTGAGGGTAGAGGACCGAATGTGCACTGATATTGGCTGCTGTGTGATCTCGTGGCCTGATGCAGGGGAGAACAATTGTAAAACGCTTTGGGATTATTGATACGATGGAAAGTGCTACATGTACAAATGTACATGTATTTATAAGCATCAATATTTGTGATGCATCAAGCTAAATGATGCGTTTGTCGCCCCTGGTCATTTCTGTTCTTTACAGATTTGAAAACTGCACAATCTCAGCATTACTGCTGTGTAAACTGCATGCTGGCAACATCTTTAGTTCAAAAATTATGGAAGTCGGATCACCTATATGATGTATGATATATGACGAAGTGATGTGATGAAGTGGTCCTTTTTTGACCTGTATCTCCAAATGAAAGTTTCCGACAAACAACTCATCTAGCTTGATCGCATCACATTTATTTAGGTTATCGTAAAAGACATTCAATACAATTTAAGTATCAAGTGGAAAACAAAAAATTTACACAAATACAGCTCTTTCTCCTAGCCTAAAGTTAAAGAAAAAGTGTCCTTTTGTGTGTTTGTAATTGATTGATTTTCTCTATTGGTGGATTTCGGAAGATGAGCATTCTGAGGAGAACACACGAAGCAGAGATGGCATCCAAACAGGACATGATCACAAGTCTGAAAGAAGACTCAAAGAAAACTCAGACACTGTATCAGCAGGAAGTGAGTCAACTGAGGGAGAAGTTACTCACGAGTGAGGAGGGGAGCGAGAAGATCAGGAATGAGCTCACCAACAGCAACAGGTAAGGAGCATAATGTTTATGAAAATTTGGTGTAAATCATAGAGCTACATGTATATTAAAGATATAGTCCATCATTTGTAATTTGTGCATTTTGTTCGTTTGAAGCAACAAAAGTGTTCAAAATCTAATGAAGGATACTGAACAACTAACCTGATGAAGTTTCAGCTCAGCTTCAGCTGTATATTCCGAGAAAAACAGCATTCTAGGATCTGAATTTCAAATCAAAAATTGCTGAATCATGTTTTGAATTGGGCCTGAATTCAGCGTCCGAGACGCGTTCTCACTGAGCCGATTGCAGCTACGCGATGTCGCGCACCGATCCGACGAATTATAGCAACCGCCAGCGTGTGTGCGTCGTGCCAATGCTTGCGCGCGCTTCGCCGAATAACAAAACGAACTACTAATTTAAATTTTCCTACGGTGCGCCTTAAGACGCACCATTGGAAAGGCCTTCTTTCGTTGATTACTTCAAAATGACAGTTTGCCAGAAAGAATAATTTCACAGGGAGTTTAGTCCCCTTATTATCTTTCAACCAAGTATGTTTTTCAACAATAGTTACGCTAGTTACTTTTCGGATGGCTGCAAATGATGGACTATAGCTTTAAATTACTAGAGCGCTAACTTATGTACATGTACATAGTGATGCCTGCTGGGCGCATCCATGTTTGTACACAAACATATGGAGACCTAGAAATTTTGTACGTATTTTGTACATCTATTTGCATATCTGCGTTTGATTCCATACCGGTGCGTCATCGAAGCATGTCTTTTGCTCTACACACACAGCGCAACCTGTGTGCGTATCCACTGCAGCCTTTTTACACTCGTAAGAAGCGTGCGTACGTTCTACTTGTGCGTTGCATTTAGAGTACACTTTCAAAATTCAATCCATCTATTTTGATTGTGTTCTACAAACACGCACATGAATTCAAAATGTCTGCGCCCAGAGCGGCTTCAAAGTGTCTCTGCGCGCAAGAATGAGGAGTTAGTGCTCTAGTAATTTATTATAATACCTCACCCACAGATTCTGTGTCTTGATTGGCCGAGAGTATCTTTCTGTGCACGGCCAAAAGTACTATACCCGTAGCAACCAAAGTACTATACCATTAGCAACCAAAGTACTATTTCAACGGCGCGGTATTTGTGTGCAAATGCATGCTGGTGTGCGCGTTGAGAGTAGCGCGTTTTGTTCCAAAGAGAGCGCGCCGCAGAGTTGGGTTCAAACATTTCGTGAAGGGGTAGTTTGGAAGAGAGAAATACATTTTCCACCAATTGTGTATTGAAATTGACGTTTATTTCAACTGTATTCAGATTTAGATATTTTAAAATATTAAAACCAAGCAGAATCTGTGGTTAGGGTGTTATAAAACAAATATGGAATGCTTTATCTCGAGGTAAAGTCAAACTAGCTTCCCTCGGTGATCCATGGAGCATTCTATTTTCCCTCAGCTTCGCCTCGGGAAAATAGAACGTCCACAGATCACCTCGGGAGGTTAGTTTTACTACACCACTCGAAGCATTCAATATTTGTATAATATAACTCCATGGTGTAAATAAACATTTGCCTGGATCCCGTGAATTGACTTTTTTTCATGCATTCATTTTCCGTATGTTTGATAATTTGATATATTTTGGAAAAATTCATCATTAGCCAAAACTGATGTTGGAATTGGATTGCAGTCGGTTGTTCATTTTTTTCAGTGTGTAGTTTTACGATTCCTTTTTCTATGAATCGCAGGTAACAACCATGTTGTGTGTATTTCCTTATGTTTACCTCAAATTTTCTGCTCAAACGACAAATCCCACATCTGTGAAAATGTACTCCTTTGGTAGATTGGTGTTAGTTTTCATTTTTGTTATGAAGTACAAGTATCGCAAAAAGTAATGTCTGAATGTGGAATGTCATGTTTCGTTAATTACTGATCAAAGAAAGGAATTTGGCGGCTTCGTTTGGGGCAGTAGAAGCAAATTTTTTTTCACAAAATGCAATATTTTGAATTCAGTATACATTGTGTACACTAGAATGCTATTATAACAAACGTGTTTGGATACACATCAACAAAAGTATTTGTACAGTAGTGATCAGTAAAATTTGAGGCTCTGCATGGTGGAGATGCTAATAAATGAAAGGTCTGCGGAAACACCATGTGCGAATAATTTCTCAAACTAAGAGAATGGTTCTGAAAAGAACCAGAGGAACTCCTCTGGTTCTTTTCAGAACCATTCTCTGAGAAATTATTCCCACATGGTGTTTCCGCAAATTAACCTTTCATTTAACAGTAGTGATTCTTTTAGTATCGTGATGAATGGCAAATGGAAGCCACGTAAATCAACGCTTTCGATCTCTGGCTGTGCTCCGTGGTCAGACATGAGTCGTATGGCGGTTGCCTTAGACGCCTTTTTCATGCATTTGGTTCGGCCACGTTCGGTTCACAATTCAGCTTCTCAGCTGTGAGTAAGGATGATTAGCCCCCCCCCCCATTATTATTATTTAACATATTGCTAGCCAAACTTGGTCACAGGTGGTTATTGAAGTAGTGGTGTTTGCTGTGGAGGTGTTCTTTAACACTTTCTCTATTTGATTAAAACAGAGAGAAAGGCCTAGCTGTCGAGTCCTTGCAGAGTCGGGTGAACAAACTCAAGGCGTACATCGGCGACACCCAGGCAGCCAGTAGGAGCACCGCACTGTGGCAAGTAGAGAGAGAAAAACACCTCAAGAAAATCAAAGTAAGCAAAGCAGGCTTTACATTGTACCTCATGTTTACCTGTTAAGTCGATGTTCATCCACCAGGCGGCGAAGCCGTCAAGCACTGCAAAGCTAGCCTTCGAGGATGGATGGATGGCAGCTAACATAAAACTACCCACGTGCCAAGGCTGTACAATCACGTACTGCACGAGGCACGAACAGCGACCTCATGCTGCTTGGCTACAATGCGCAAATCAGTTTGTGCTGAAGGAATACACGGGCAATTTGCATAAATTGTTTTATCAGCCGTGCGAAGCACGCATATATATTGTGATCGTCCATTTTCTTTCTTTCTTTCTTTCTTTCTTTCTTTCTTTCTTTCTTCGGCAAACGGTCACGTGACCAATGAAAAAATGGCTATAACTCCTGAACTATTCAGCCGATTTCAAACAAACTTGGTCAAATTAAACCTTGACACATGTCCTACCTAGCCATGTTTGTAAAATCCAGCCAGTGGTCATCCAGTGGTCAGAACTGGTCATCTAATGAATATTTACAAAATGCTTTTTCTCCCACAGTCTTGACCAAATTAATGTAAAACTTAGTCAGTTATATCTTTAGACCAAGCCTCACAAAAAGTGTTCACAGAATTTGGCCAGTGGTCTATTGGTCAGAAGGGGTCATTTTATGATAAAAAATAAAAAGCTGTTTTACATTTCAAATCTTTGCAGCCCTGTTCAGTGTATTTTTTCATCTCTAATTCTCAAATTTCATATTCCTGACTTATTTGGTTGTCGAGTTATTTGAAGTTTATCATTTTCTTAACGTACGTAAAAACAATATAAAAACATAGGAATTCTGGGAAGGTTTCAAACCACCACGCACGATACTGTGGATGTTGTGTAGCATTCAAAAATGAACTCATTCGTGCGCGGCCGACCACGTTGACAGGCAATTGCATGCACAGTGCCGCACTCTCCATAGACTTTGTACGCAACCGCTGAAGTGGCGTCTGAATACTGCATTCTTTTGATTTGTTTTAGCGGCAGCTAGTGCCACCTGCGTAAAGGTAGCCGCTTATTCGTCCAGACACTCCGCCGTGGATTAAAAAGTACGGAGGCCAATAAACAACACTATTGCTATGATTAATTTTTGATGGTTTATGTGGATTAATCTACAGGCATACTGTTTCATGTATTGTCTTGGTGGTTATTTTGTGTAATGTTTCAGCGGGCTTAATATCAAATGCTCATAGTTGCTTCTCTTGCATGCTTTTGCCGATCTCAGCCACATTTAGCAATGATCACCTTGTGGTCGGTGCGAGTCAGTATTCAGACAAACCGTTAAAACGGCAATTTAGGGCTGATATCCGTGATTCAGGAAGCACATTAGCTCTAGTTTCAGCTGGATTTATATCGGGTTATATTATGTCTGCGAACTCCAAACTCTTTGGAGAATGCAACCACACTATCCAGCTGTCTGTCCATTTAAAAAATATGAGCCTCCACTACCAAGTATTGAATAATAATCTCATCTATATTCGCATACGGGGTCGTCGCTGAAAATCCAGCGACAAAATCAAGAAAAACATAAGCCAAAGCGCACAAATGTTTTTGTGGTTTTGAAAATCTGTTTTACACGTGGAGGTCCTGATTTTGAAATGACCTATGGTGATCTGCTGATTAATATTAAGAAACTAACCCAGTGTTTTCATGATTGATCTTTTTGACACTTGTGTCAGGATTTGGAGAGGGATTTGGACAATCAACGATCCGCTGTACAGCTGCTGAATGTTCGTCTGTCATCAACCAATGAGATCCTTGGAATCCAGGAGGCAGAGTTATCAAGGGTAAGAGGGTAGAGCACAGGAGTGTCTTCAACAGGGGAATGGAAAGTAATTTAATTTGTGACTGCGCCAGACATGTTTCAGGGTGGCATGTGTGGCTAGTGTGTAAAGTGCTTGCTTCTCACCACTGTGGCCTGGGTTCGATTCCTGGCTCGGACCATATGGGAGTAGAGTTGTGCGTGGATTCTCTCCTGTGCCACGAGGGTTTTTCTCTGGGCTCTCCGGTTTTCCTTCCACAAAAATCAAACACTTTTGATCTGTGGCTGTGCTCTGTGGTCAGACATAGGTCATATGGTGGCTGTCAAAGGTGCCTTTACATGCCTTAAGGCTCGTTGTAGCCGTGTGTTTTGCAATTCAGCTTTTCCGCTGCGAGTAAGGATGATTAGCTCCCCACCTTTCATGTTATGTAGCAAACCCTCCACTCACACACTGAGTGCCCAATGCAGGATGTAGGATCATCAGGTGAAGCATACATATTAATCCATAAAGTTGGTCTCCCCCTAAGGTTTTGACTTTCACCATACATTTTTTTTTCTTTTAATTTTTGCATGCAAGAACTGTTCAAAAATACTTCAAAACAATGAGCACAAGTACAAAAAGGTTAAAATTGAAAGCAGCTTTTCGGGCCATTCATTGCCATATTCTTTGCATACATTGTAGTTGGTCATGTGACCAGGAAGTGTGGTCAAACGTGAATACTTGATAGGTTTGGGCAAAGAAAACATGTTTTTGACTCAGAAAAATACATATGTTGATGTTTTTGTATTGAAACGACCCAAATGTATGATAATGTTTATGGTTGCCACGACAACCATAACACGACAACCATAAACATTTCACAGGATTAGTTTGCTTAGTACATTGACCTACGGTAGGCTTAAAGGTTAGGAAACGTAACCAAATTTCATGCCAATCAGGCAAAGCGTACCGGACCTATAACAAAACGGTTTCATTGGGGGAGGATGTCATGATATTCATGTACATGTAGATTGATATTCATGCACTGTTTAGTTGTTAGAATTAATGTTAGATAATGTATTCTTTACTTTTCTTTGTGTTATTTTTTTTCCCAATTTGTTCCTCAGGTTAAAGGTGAAAGTGCAGATAGTGGGAAGAAACTGCAGCTGCTTCTGACAAGGTAACCTGTCAGCCTGCATACTCCATATTACATTCCATTTTACTAAACTGTTGTGTACGCTGGCAAATGCAACTGTATAAAGATCAAATATGAGAGGTTCAGATGTCACATTTTTTAACAACAAATCACAATACTTTTGCCCATTTTTGTTTATCATTTTCTTTTTACGTTGAAAGTAATGCACTCATGAGGAATGTGTGAAAGCAAAAAGGATTGATATGGGACCTTCCCTGTTCCTAAAGCAATAGTTGTAAATTTCATACTCTTGGTTATAAATGTCGTATGTCATAAGACACAAATCTTTGTCCCGGATAGCCTCTTTGTGAAGAGCAAGATTCAGTTGAATGTTCAGTTTGAAACGGGCCATTTGTCCTACGTTTCAGGTGGCGGGAGAAAGTGTTTGAGCTCCTTGTTCAGCTGAAATCACAAGAGGTTGTTGAAGGAAATATCAGGAGGGACCATAATTGGCAGGTATTGTTTGAGTCAGGCAGTGTTTCTACTTTTATACATTTTTTTTTTAAATTTGTTATTTTTTTTATTGAACTGTATTTTAACTAGGCGGGCTAATTTTTAGCAGCATAATATTCACACTGACTCCGACAAATCCCGTCCTCAGCTCTGACACATACATTTCATGGTCCATCCCACCATTGTAGGTTGATCACGTGAATTGCCCATCTCACGGCAAATGCAGGCCTGCAAATCCTGAAGGCTGGAAACTGGACTGCTTAAAACCTTGTTCTTTAAATGCCTCCCCACCCCCTCAAAAAAAGTCACCAGGAGTCAAATTCAGGTGACCTGGGAAGTCATTCCACAGCATGATTCAGTGTCATTACTACATTGTACATCCCTAAATATTTCTGAAAGCAGGTCCTGACAACATTGGTATGTCAGCTGGGGTACCGTCTTGTGCCCGCACGCCAACGTTGTTGGAAGACACATGTACCGTTTCCTTGCTGTTCGAATGCAACTCACGATGCATGAGGCACAAATCCTGTTTTGTTCATGTTTTCTTTATCCCTGGAAGCTCTTTGTCTTATGTCTGGTTGTGTTCACAATGTTTTACACCAAACTGTCCTAAGAGGGTTTTACATGCCATGTTCAAAACTATGGAACTCCTAGACTTGGTACCAAGTCGGTAATCGTTTTGCATACGGTACCGGTTACTGGCTCCACGGCTACACACAAAATATATCGCTGCAATGCACGTAGTCTGGTTCCCAGACCAAATGATGCTGACTATTGATGTTCAATTACCGACTTGGCGAATATGTTTTCAATTTTGTACACAACATATGGGAGTATTTTGAATCGCTAGCGAATTCAATGCGAGCACTCTAATTGGTTCAGATAACAGAGTGTATTCTAGGCCGCCACGGGAGATCACTCTCATTACTTCGAGGGTTTGTGCTTTGTGTTGTGTAACATCACAAAATTTATTATAGGGCATACACGACTCAAATAAATATTATGAGTACATTAAGTATTATAATACATTTTATTTCTATACACAACTGACCAAACTGAGTATATTTGGTCGTTAAAACGTCGCCAGATCTGCAAGCATGTCCCCGACGTTTTGATGAGAAAACTCCCCATGTAATGGAATGAATTAGTCCTCATTTGCATAGCGGTTTGCCATTGGATCTCACCGCAAACTGCACTGCATATGTAATGCGCTGCAAGCATGTATGAATAACGGTGCGAGAACGTACTCGTCAAGTCATTTAATATGTCGCAACCTGGCCGAATACATACTAGTCTTATACCAGCTGCGCCGATGGAGTTCGACTGAAGTTCATACTTACTACCCATAGTTTATGATAAAACCATAATTATGGTCATGAAGTTCATAGTTTGTTCGCATTATTCCTTTGTGGTTATGGGTACCTGTGGTTTTTTTGGACACCCTGTAATGGTTAGGTGATGGAAATCAAAAATCCACTTTTCCTGTTCAGTTTTGAGCACTTTTTTGGGCACTTTCTTTTGAAGAGCAAATCCAGAGACCTGTAGTTCAGGTTACAAGAAAACAAGTTATGGTGTAATTCATTACATTCCTTTTTTGTCTTCTCCAGGTAACTGAGTTGGAAGAGAAGACAACCAGCTTGCAGAATAAATGCCACCTCTTGGAGCATTCCATTGCTGACAGGGATGCACAGCTTCAACTTGAGAGGGGACAGAGTCAGGTGGGGCACAAAACATGTATATGACTTTTTTCAATAAATTTTCTTGAGTTCAATTTGTAGGCCTGAAGTGTGGGAAGACTCTTTCAAGAATAGGCTGAGTAAATACATTTTGTCGTTTGCTAACACCTGGGCAAATTGAAATGGTATCTCTTCAGTGCTTTTCAATGGAAGCTCCTTTTTTTACACACTCTCTGACCGAAATTGGTCTCATTATACACATTTGAAATGCTTAAGACATTGCCGTTTAATGTTTGCCCTTTCCTGGCCTCTGTGTTAAAGTTGCGTCAAATTCTCACCAGTTGCTCAGAGCACACAAAACCTGCTTTAATTTAGAAAAGAAAAACTGTGTTAACTTTGAGAAGCAGGTGATGTTCTCCTCTCAATATTGTCCTAGCTTTGATGCTAACTTTTACACTATCTGACATTGCTTATCAACGACAAAGTTCTCAAACAAGCTTATGTACTAATATCTTAATACTTTCTCTTGTTAGAGTCTTCAAGATGAGTTGGCATCAGTGCAACAGGTTGCAGAGCTCCTAGATGCAAAACTGAGTGCACATGAAGAGACCGTGCCCCAACTGACATCCTTGCTACAAAGGTAATGGTAACGATCGTGGAGGGGTCAAAGATCTCTGGCATAGGGTCGCCTTAGTCATTGTTAGTATGTGTATTTAACCTATTAGCATCTGTGCTACATTGTAATCCATTGTTTTTATTCCCTGATGAATATGTATCTTGAATCTTGGATATATTTCCTCCTAAATACTCCATATAGAGTTTAACTTAACTGGAAGTGCATATGGTTGGGAGTGGTCGACTTTAAATTCCTTTTGGTTTTCAAGGCAGACTTGAAGGATGATGTAGTTTTCTGTATAAAACCACAGAGTGCTCGGACGGTTTCATGCGGTAGAGAGCGTAATAAGCAGAGCAATTTGGGGCCACACAAGAATGTAGAATGTAGTTTTTAATTCTCTAATTTTATGTAACTAAAGTTGAAAATAGATTGTTTGTCAGTTTCAAACCGAACCCAACAAGATAAGTTTGAAGTTACAAGATCTGCTTTTGTGTTGGAGACTATTAAGCTAATTTTTTACAATTTAAAACGGAACTGGGAATTTGTCCTTTTTCATTGAGATGTCAAACTGATGAAACCATACTAAAGCTTGAATATCAAAATGTAGAGCTGTTTATGCATTTTAGAATATATATGGAAAAACTTATTAGTGAAAGTATACCTGATTAGTCTGCACTAGTCTGCACCCAATTTTGCTGGATCAAGTCACATTAATGTCATTTGTTTGGTCAATTTGTGTCACAGCTTTCAACAGAAACACACAGCAATGGAGGAAAATCTTGTCAGTCTGGTGTGCAGACTGGGCTCCTTTGATCAGCGAATCAGCTTTGCAGTTGGCCGCATTGAAATCCTCAAAGGTATGTTCCATCTGTCCTCCAAACTTCCCTAATTTGATTTACCGGTACTTGTTCTGAAACCTGTCAATTTCTGAACCTAAAACTTCTCTGTCAGCCTGGTTGTCAGGCTGGGATCCTTTGATCAGCGCATCAGCTTTGCAACGTTGGTCGCATTGAAATCCTCAAAGGTATACACCATCCTTCCTCCAAACTCCTCTAATTTGACTTGTTCTGAAACCTCTCAATTTCTGAACCTAAAACTTCTCAGACTCATAATTTAAACGTGCCTATAAAAGATCTCTCGTCTCCCAATATCTGACATAGTTTTCATCTAATTTTTTTCACCAAATGTTTCTTACCCATTTTCGACGTTCCATTTACTTATTCATTTACTTATTCGGGTATTCTCTGCTTATATTTTTCATTTGGAAATAAATGTGAGTTTGAATTGAATTGTAATTTATGCACTGTCATTCTCTACTCTTGAATTAGAGATCAAGGTTCTGTATGAAGGCTGGTTCATGCTTCGCACGACAGCCAATTAAGCAAAGCAAATTTCATGACCTCACTCAAATATTTATATTTTGTCATTAATAGCAAATTCGCTTTGCACTGAAATTTACATCAAGTATGAATCAGTCTTTACACCATATTTTTGTAATTAGATTGTATTTTATTTTAATAGGTTTTGTATATGTTGTTGTTGTTGTTAGGATTGATTGCCAGGAAGGATGCGTTGTGGAGACTGAGAGAGCAAGAGATACAGACAAGTAGTCAGACGCTGACCAAAGATGATGATGAGAACACACAGAATAATGGTGACAGGTATGATAGAGTCAGGAAACCAATCTAGTAAATGATATTCTATTCATGTTTACTTGAAGATCAATCTAGTATATGATATTCTATTCGTGTTTGCTTGAAGATAAATTTGTCATCCCACTTGCACTTGTGGAACACAGAAAATGTAGTTTCATATTTGGCCTTGTAGCATATGGCACACAGAGGCATACATTCTTTCGCTCGTACCCACCGAATGGCTAATTTCTTCTGGAGGTATGACATCATTTCTTTGAGCTCCCTTTGGGTAGAAATTTGTTTGAACAATGACAAGGGTCAGGTGTTCTGCATACGCATGACATATGCGCACAGAATGCATACGCATGACACATGCACACAGAATGCATGCGCATGACACATGCGCACAGAATGCATGCGCATGACACATGCCAAAGAATGCATGCGCATGACACATGCCACAGAATGCATGCGCACATTAGATGAGGCAGTTAGCTCCTCACAATTCTCTGGTGCCTGTACCCTGAAGAAAATTAGCCCTTCCCAGTGCCCTGTTTGGGAGGTGGGTACGATATATACTATATTCCATGTTCCACTTGCACTCGCGGGATATACTAAAAATAACTACATGTATGTGTGTTTTATTGTTCTGTAAAGATTTCATAGGAGCTTGAGTTTTCTGTTATTTGATGCATTAGACTATCATTTGACCAGTTGAAGATGGAGTTACAGCAGGTGACACGTGAACGGGATGCCCTAGCAGCGAGGATCAAACAGGACTCTGAAACCATGCAGGAACAGTTCAATGAAGTCAGAGCAAAATGTAAGGGTAATTCACTAGACACTTTAACACAGTCACTACCAGCAAAGCCTTGTTGATAGATTTGCCTTCGAGGGTCGTGTTTAATAAAAAAATATTTGGAGCGACCTAAATACACATTTCAGACTGGTTTCAGACAGGCAAACGGTATTTTTTATTAACTAGACTCTGAAATCAAGCATTAATCTTTCAACGTAGTCACTTGAAAAGGCCAGTTTATACTCAGCAAAATTTGAGCAAGTATTCGCATTGCAAATTCACAAAAAGTCAAACACACTTCAACTCACACACGTTTACATTATATCTAGTGTGGTCATTCCTTTGTTTTTGTGTAGTTGTGAAAAAAACTCACTTTACTCACGCTGTCAAAACTCTTTCAACCCAATTTTTTTCTATGATTTCCTTGAGTGTTTCTCTTCATTTTGCAACCGATAAATCCAACTCAAAAATGCCTCTAAACCTGTTTCCAGTAAGGGGGAAACATTGTGTGGACTTGGGCAAGTTCACACAACGTATCTGAAAACTGGTTTATGTGGACATCTTTGTTTGGAAGTCCACACAGTAAATGTAATGCTTGTACAGGTTTTCTTGTTTGCTGAGAAGGTTTCATGACGTCAAATGTACTTCGCATTACATGAACTTTGAACCGGCCTTCAATAATTGTTTCAAACATTCAACTTCTCATAAATGTGATTAACAGCTTCAGAATGATTTGGTGCGGCCCACTCTTCAATCTCAGTCTAAAACAGGTTTATTTGAGTTTCTAAGAGTTACAATGTAAGGTCAAAAGATCAAATCTAATTTCCTCTGGTATGGCTGGTTATGCAATATAAATGAAGTAGTATTAACCCAACATTTATAAGGAGACAGTATGCTGGACGATGTTCAATGCTGTTACTGTTTTCAGGATGATGATTGATACATGTAGTTTCATCTACTTGGCAATAATTTACATTTTTGTTACGTTGCTTTATCAAATTGCTAACATGAGAAGCCTATAGTCTTTTTTTTCTCTTCTTATCAGCAAACCCAGCAACATGAATTATTAAACAGAAACAAATGAAAGTCTTTCGTACAGGTTGAAAGGAAAAAACCCACTTTAATTTATTGAGAAATGAAGTTGCTACATACATGGTTACAATGGTAGGATGTAAACGAGATGGCTGAGTTCTGAGTTAGGACAATTGACCTATCGCCGTTTGCGAGTTACCGAGGCCCCTTAGACAACCCTATCCAGTTTGTTAGTAAAATTATTGTACACGTGCGCATGACTGATTACTAGCTTCTATTGGATGAAAACTCAAGTTGTGTTAGCTTCCAGTTCCAATGGTGCTACTTAACATGCTTAACCCTAACCCCCAGGCCCTTTTTTGCTAAGAATTTTGCACTCGTGTTTAAATGAAGGATTACCAACGCCAAATCCTTCAAAATCATCAGACAGTCCTGCCTCAAAATGCATTCATCTTCAATCCTCCAAAATCCTCTTGTGCTTCAATCACCATTCATCCTCAATCATCCAAAATCCTCAGGTGCTTCAATCACCATTCATCCTCAATCCTCCAGAATCCTCATTTGATTCAATCACCATTCATCCTCAATCCTCCAGAATCCTCATTTGATTCAATTACCATTCATCCTCAATCCTCTAGAATCCTCCAAAACCGTCAGGAGGATTTTGGAGGAGTGAGGTGGGTTAGGCATTCTATAACACTTACGAACCAAATGTAATTTTTGTTCACTAAGTTTTGTTTGTCTCAGATGTTGCACGTTCTCCGTCCATTTGTATGTCTTGTAATTGAACAATATTTCACGAGCTGTGGTGACGCAATTTTAACGTGATGCCACTGCGATAGGCCAATTAGACCGACTCGCAGACGCTTGTATTGGAGACACTTGTATTGATTGCTTCATGCATTTATTATGATTAGTTGAAGCCAGACAAGAGCAAGATGCAGCCAGACTGCAGGAGTTGGAATCCCAACTTCGGGAAAGGTCGAAGGTGGGTATTTTGAATGATGTGCTTTATTAAAAAATAAAATATGAATAGTTTCAGAAAAATAGCAGAACATTGTACTTGCACTTAAATTGCTTGCATGCAATGATAGATTTTTGCCTGTCATGATTACATATAGCAGTTTTCTAAATCTAGTGCATATGTTTGCATTTGTTTGACTTGTCTTTAATATTGGTGTTTTTTTTCTGCTGACAGGATCTGCAGAGTGTTTCCAGCAAACTGGACCGTGCCGAGTCTGAAAGCCAGGAATCACACAGGACCATCGGTAGGCTGAAGACGGCGTTAGCCAAACTGCAGTTGTCAAGTGAGAGAGGTCAGTTTGAACGAGGTCAATATGGTTTCATATGTCCTTGTATTGTCACCTCCCTCCTCACTGACCTGAACTCAATTTCATAGTTCTGTTATCAGTCGAATCTTTATTTCACACTTTTTAACAATCTGTTTTATTAACCATGTTCTGCTCTGCAAGTAGTGATGTGCATTTTCAAATAATTTAGTATTTGATTATTCTGCGCCTGTCAAAATTGACACTGAGCTTATTTTATTAGAATGGTATTAAAATCATCATCGATGTGTTGATATATTTTTGAGATAGATTGGTTGATATTTAGCAAATTTTAAAGAAGCAAATTAGAAATGTTATTCCTCATGGACGCTTTCAATCATGTGTTTAAATTCAGTTTTGACAAGACTGGCATACTGGCATTGATAAATAATGAAACGATGCTTGTTTTAAGTTATTCCATTTATTTTAATAACAAAATCGTGACCATTAAAATGGTTTGAAGATTTTGGGTGTACTAAATTAAGACAATCACTTCTTTACAAGAGTTTACGTTTTAAATGTGCTTAATTACTTGGCTCTCATTTTGCGGAGCAGGTTTTAATTTTTTAAAAATTTTCTTCCATTTGAATACCTTCTAAATTCTCTTACTTAAGTTTGGCTCTAAAGTCTATTTTCATTGAAGAATTGGGAAAGTGATTACTTGGTGTTTGATGCCCGCACTGCTGTTTGAAATGTTTGTATTTTTTATTGATATCTTTTGGTGTGTGTTTGTTGCTGCAGCTTCTGTGGATAAGATGGTAGCTATGGAGACTCAATTGACCAATCAGCTTGCAGAGATGGAGAAACGACTGAATGATGCAAGACGTGAACAGGCCAAAGCTGGTAATATTAAGAATACGTCAGCTCATTCTTCCATTGGCATTTTGCCATACATGTAATTACTCTATGTAATTATGCTATGTAATGCACTGCTTTCTCATAAAAGACCATGTGCCATAACTCTGTATATGCCATGTAGCAAGGGATCACACCCGAAACCATGATGCTAGCAACAATAGCAATGCTACAAGCCTGAGAAACAGCCTTTTGTTTCTCAGAAAGTTTTTCCTTTTCACTGCTTAGCAGTGTGACACATTTTTCAGATATGTAGTTTTATTCTGAGCACCATTTTAACATTAAAGGGACTGACTGTAAGCTAATTTGTCGTGAGCAAATGCCTGTATTTATGTCCAGTTTTCAAACATTCAGGATTTTGACTCATTTTGAGTGTGTTCGTATCTTCTCCAGTTGTTTCTTTGAGGCAGCTTGAACGGCAGATGACACGTGAGCGAGAGAGATCCGCTCAGATGCTGCAGACACAGGAGGAACAACTGCAGTTGGAAATTGATAGAATCACAGCCCTGTTGAGAGAGGCTGACAAAGACAGGAACCTCCTCATGGTAGGTTTGTATGGACCCCTTGAAAACTTATCACCCTTAACAGAGAGGAAGATAAGTTTACTATACCTCATACATATTCATGATCAAGAGCCGATTTCCCACTGGTCTGTTCACCATCTGTGTATTTCCGAGTGTTCTGTATTTTAGACTTGAAAAGGTCCACTTCATGGTAAAAATGACCCTCCCCTTTCCACCAGGGTGACACCAACCCTGCTTATGCACCTTCACTTCGCTGTGGGAATTTAGTCCATTACAAGCAGCACAGCGCCCGATTTCACGAAGCGCTGTGACGCGTCCCAGCTCGAGTTCTGAAGTGTAACACATTGTAACTCGCGACGCGTCGCATCATCCATTTCACGAAAGTTGCGATGTGTTGAACGTGTCGTAAGTTCCTTGACAACGGCTTAAAACACATTGCAAGTTAAGACGTGTCTAGTGGTCATCGCAAAATAAGAAGAGTCATTTTCTAAGCCAGTTTTATGCCTTAAACATTACATATATGAGATTATGTGTGTAAAGTCGTAAATAGAAAATTCATTGACTAATTATGAGTTAGACCGGAATATTAGAGTTGAAATTTCAAAGTAGCTATACAGTCCAATGAGAGCTTGTTTTCCTTCAAAATTGCATCGCACGGCCGCCATTTTGTTTCACGTTTTAACAAATTTCGAGCAGAGATCCGACGACTCTTTGTTGAATATCAGACGACTATTTACTGTATGCTGACATGATACATAAAACAGTCACCGAGTTGTGCTATAAATACCCTTACGACGCGTCGCAGTTACGACGTGTTTTGTGAAATGGATCGCGGGACGCGTCGCAGCTGCGTCGCATCGTAGAGATACGACGCGTTGCATTGCTGCGATGCATCGTAAGTTACGAAGAGTTTGATGAAATAGGGTGCAGGCTTTTGAATATTCCTTCTTTTCCTACTTTTTCCTGTTTTTGTTGCCCTCAACTCTGAAAAATGCAACACACACTGTCATGTTATACACACTGTCATGTGTAAATCACACAATGAAGGGCTGGAGTGCATGCAGGACTACTGCAACTGTACTTACAAGAGCTTAGTTTAGGATGTAGCACAAATGTTGTAGGTACAACCAAATAAGTCCTATGATGCTGTGGCAATGGGTGGGTATCACAAAAAAAAACCTACACATGAAGGCCCATAAAAGTCCTACTCTCATTCTGATTTTGTCCTCTGAAGTCCTAATTTCATCCTTTTTGGGGGAAACTTTTGATCCTGCTGTTCTCCTTCTTTTCACACGGGTCTGCTTGAAAGCCTTGCTGTTTTAACCTTTATGACCCTTGTGTTGTTTCTTCTAATGCCAGGCAACGCTGAAGCAAGAAGGCCTTGTTGGTCAGTACAAGGCACAGCGGGCCGCAGCACGGAGACTCGACAGTGAGATGGATGAATCAACCCAGACACCAGCCAATCAGGATGCAGCAAAACAAGGGCAGGTCAAGGGTCAACCAGCACACCATGCCAAACCAAAAGGTAATGATGTCATTTGTAACGGGATAACAGAAGTCTTGTTCTGGTTTGCCTTGTGAAACGCTGGCTCTTCTAAAGAAATTGAGCACGAGTAAAAAGTAAACGAATATCATTCTTTTAAAACAAGACCATATTTATTGGAAAATGACAGAGTTAAGACAATATCTCCTAGTTTGTTTTTTTCATATACACTGTGTATTTAGTTTAGACTTTAGTTTTGTTTTCATAATTTCTTGAATATGGTACCTAATGGCTTTTTTGTCAATATTGTCTTTTGCCAATACAGCTCCCTTGAGTGCAATCCTCACTGATCTTCAGTCACTTACAGCTCAAGTCTTGGCAGACGAAGATATCGATGACAGTGATGTTGAGAACAATGACAAAGGATAGGCGATTCACCTCAAGAAGGCACACTTTGTTCTACACGCAACATTAATAATGTCTTGGTGGTCCAGAAGTACATTGCTATGGAGACAATTTGGGTTTAAAAATGCACATACAATGTACATTCAAAAATATTTTTTTTCCCATTTGCCAAAAGTGATGAATAAATTAGTAATTGGTGTATCAAACATTCAGATTGTGTCTTTTGAGTCATTTTGTGTCTTTCACTGATGAACACATTCAGCCAACATGATGAACTTCAAAATGCCTTCCCTACCCGCATCCCTCAGCATCCCTAGCACTAGTCTCCCACCAGTCAGAAATTCACCACACTTCATACTCAATACAAAGCCCTTTACCCTCGGTATTGCCACCTAACTCAAATTCAGAGCCACCACCCCTTGGAACCCATCCCCACTCTGCGACCCAAGTGGCTGCTTGAGACGGGGACGATGATGCACCTGCCACACATCTCAACTGTTCATACAGCTAGTGAACTCATCCGTCGTCTAATTCCCTGCATCACCCTTCATCGTCCTCACCATAGTCCTGATTGGCCTCCCTCTGCTTGGTTTCCTGTGCTTAGTTTCCCACAGGATCACCCGACTTGCTACAGCTCTGGGTCTCTAGCAGTGCCCAGCAAGGCACAGACGTTTTGACTTGACCTTCTCCGAGACCTTTGGCAGGTTGCCGTAGAGCTCGGTGTTTGTCATATGGGCCTTCCAGCTAATGTTCTGTGCCATCCTGAGTATCCGGAAGTAGCACCCATCGAGTGACTTGGTCTGGGCTGCCGTGGGAGTCCATGTCTCGCTACCGCACAGAAGAATCGCCTCAATTCCCGCTTGGAAGTATCTCGGTTGAGCTTCTTTGACAGGCTTGACCTCCAGATTTTCTTCATGTCATGAAGAGCTTTCCAAGCCGAAGTCTTCCGCACCTTGATGTCCTTCTCAGTACTTTCATCCTGGCGCCGAGGTACATGAAGTCATTAACGAGCTTAATTGAGAGACACACCTCCGTTGGTCGTCAGAGCATCAGGGTCGCCGATGTTGAACACCATGTACATGTTGTACTCGGTTTTCTTGGTGTTGAGGTTAAGCTCGACACTCCGTCTTCACTCTGCTCAGCAGCTCCTGGGCCTCTCTGATCTTGTCTGATAGCAGGGCTATGCCATCCGCTAAAATCAAGCTAGATCATCCCCACTGCTCTGGCAACTTTGCAGCCCAGTCCTTATCCAGTCGCATTCTTCATTGCATGAAACGTCCATTGAAGGGTACTGCTGGTGGTGTTAAAAATTGTGTCTTGAACTTGCCAAAAGTAAACCACTTCATAATAGGTCTCATAGTGCCCACAATCCCAAATCCGCTGGCTTTTTAATAGTACATGTACATGTATAACATTTGAGCGTCATGGTAAGTATTTTGCATGCAGTATCTGTTGAGATAGCTGTCACTGTTGTACATCTAAGATGTTTGCACTCAAAGGATGTTTGCTCTTCTGATAATTAGGTCCCCCAGTTTCAATCAATCCATTTTCATCCAAGGAATCCAACCTGTAGAGGAGAATCCTTCTTAAGGATTAATGTACTAGCAGATTAAAAAACACATTTCACCAAAAAAAAACACCACATAACTCTTTTAAGTTTATCGCATCATGCAGGTTGTCTGATGGGCTATTGAGTTTATCTGTTCGAAGCTTGAGCGTGATTGTTGGGAAGATAGAGTGGTCTTTCCATTTTTGACCTTCCATGGACATTGCTGCAGACTTGCAATCTGGGTTTCAGCGTTGCAATTCCGTTTGCCTGTGGGCCACGTCTTTTATGTCATTCATGAACAGTATCTTATGCACTGGATGTTGTTGCGAATTACTGATCGAGGCATGCTGTCAGTACGACTCTGCAGACATGTCTGGGATGGTCTAACCAAGCTTTCTGTGCAGTTGAAAGCATGTTTGCCTTGGACCATTTTGTGGATCTAAACCATTTTGGGTTCCCGGCAATTCTTCGACTTCATTTGTATTTGCAGCTGTAGAAAGGGAACAGACAACGGAACTGTCATGGAGAGAGCACCATTACAGATTTATGTTAAAATATAGACCGTACTTTTTGGCAGACATGGTGAGGGAACATTTGCAAGTTTGGGAAAACGTTAATATTTATTAAACATCGTTAAAAGTCCCGAAAGACGCTCCATTTTTTATAGTGCTTTTTATACAACTCGGCAGAAAGTCCTTAATGCCCGGTGAACTTAAGGGCCCCGAAATTTTTTGGATTTTAGATGCTCTGTGGTGCGATCTGAGGCAATTTCTGACCAATACCAATGTTTTTTGAGGAAAAGATGGTGGTGTACTCATTGCCTGCCTTTATTGCGACGTCACATAAAAAAAAGTTTCTTTTATTTTGATAGAGTTGCTCCACTGCTAAACATTTCCCCAGAAAATCAGACAGTTAAATGTCTAAAGCCCATCTCAGCTAGAGAAATTATGGTCAAGTGTGCAGTTTCAAAAGTTGTACAAAGCACACATTTTCTTGGTTTTCAGCGCACATGCGTAGGCCTACACTCCCAGGGGCCAGCGGGCCAACGAACAACTTATTTCCAGATAGGCTAATAACAAATAATTCACGATAAAAATGAAACATTTGGCCTTATTATGAATCGGAATTTAGCAAGTCCCTGTGACAATAAGTCACTTGGCCTCATTATAGTCCCCGCCCATTCGCCCCATGACTTAATTCGTAGTCGATTCTGTATTCCAAAGTCACGAGTGCGCCCCCAATAAGGTATGTTTTGTAGTTAAGGCCAAAACAAAAAAGTCTCCGGTTTCTGGTATGGAGCTTGCCCAAAAAGTGGTGCGGCGACGCGGCTTTTTTTTTTTTACCTGATTTTTTTGCTTCAAATCATTGAAATGTCGGCTTATGACTGCACAAAAAAAATTAAAATGCACTCAAAGGATGTTTGCTCTTCTGATAATTAGGTCCCCCAGTTTCAATCAATCCATTTTCATCCAAGGAATCCAACCTGTAGAGGAGAATCCTTCTTAAGGATTAATGTACTAGCAGATTAAAAAACACATTTCACCAGAAAAAAACCCACATAACTCTTTTAAGTTTATCGCAGCATGCAGGTTGTCTGATGGGCTAAAAAAAAGTCTCCGGTTTCTGGTATGGAGCTTGCCCAAAAAGTGGTGCGGCGACGCGGCTTTTTTTTTTTTACCTGATTTTTTTGCTTCAAATCATTGAAATGTCGGCTGATGACTGCAAATGGTGCCCGACTAAACTTAGTGCAAATAGATGGGAGTCCAGAGAGGCCACATAAAGCTGATTCTCGACCATAACCCAATCTAAAAACACGTTAAAATTGTGCTGCAGCAGGATTCCTGTCAAACCAGTGAGTTTGGCGGTTTTGAGACATCATCTTTCATTGAAAAAAAAACACGTTTTCATTTTGCCGACGCGCATGGCTACGGCGATGCGCGCGCATACCAGAAACCGGAGACTTTTTTTTTGGCCTAATGGCAAGAGTCCAATCTGACTTTGACAATCACACAGCTACTTCCGCCTTGGTGTTCTCAGTATTTGTTGCCTATGCACCATCCGAATCACTGCACATTTTGGATCGGGACCAAGGATCAATTGCCATTAAGAAGGGACATACCTATGCCGATTTGAGGAACACGGTAATAATGAATTTCCTTTTTTTCCGACTTGAACAAGTTATACATAGTGGGCCACATTCCTACTTACAGAAACATAGAGCGCTGGGGGCTGTTAAGCTAGATACTTGACTTATGAACTTTTAAAGTTTAACTTTTTATGTTGATGAAAATATATAAATCAAGACACTCCAACTTTTCTTGAGTTAAGCCAGCGCATGAAAGCGTGAGTCCAGGGTTCCTTAATGTACAGACGTGTGTGATTATGTCCCCCGTCTTTACAGTTTGTTTTCACGATTTCAATACAGTCAAATTTATGGCATGGAAACAAAATTAAAACAGAATCAAATCCGATTTTTTTTTTGACGGGTTCGAAGTGTAGCATAAAATTACTGAAATGTGAGCTCAATTCGGAATTCATGAGCTCAGAAATACTCCCTGTGTGCGTGCTCTGCATATTTCTGTGGCACTCTTGACTTGTGTAAATCATTCTTACTGACCAAAATTTATATGTATGCCTTGTATGCTTCTTGCAGCTTTCAAATGTTGTTTGCGGGTTATCTTTAAATTTTAGCCAACAAGTTAACTACACTGTACATATTTTGGTTAACAATAATCTTAAGTAAACGTTCTTCATATGAGCGTTGTTTTGCATTTTTTTGCGAATTTTTTTCTCAGTCACATCTAATAAATATGTGAAAAGGTGGATTTTTTTTAATGCATTCTTCACCAATTTTTCAATATAGTTGCAATTGTTCATCTATTTTTGGGATTCGAGGGTTGAAAAGTTCGAGGTGGGTAGGCCTAATATCAATGGACTCACTGAAGCGATGCTTGGTTGGTAGGCTGTTTCTATGGATCGTTCAATGGCAAGCCGCACTGCAGTGCTTTCAGTACATACGTTGGTACGGGATTAAAAACCATGCATAAACGCACGTAGTCCTATAATAAAACTTCCTGCATGTAACAAGTCGAAACTAGAGGTTTGCGTTTGTCTGGGCGCTAAACTGTTATATTTGACAGTGTCTAACTCAGTTGTAAATAATTATATAATATCGGATGGCTTTGTTATGAGGGGGAAACAAGAATATATTGCACTAGTCGATGACGAGTGCAATATTGTAATAGAGAGTGCAATATATTCTTTTATACAACACCTGAATAAATCCCCGTCATCTGATTGGTTGGTCGTTGATCACATGTCATTGAATTATTCGTCCCAACGCACAGCGCGCGCGCGGCGCGCAGCGCACGCTGAATAGAACTTCCATTGCACGTTGTCACTGCTGCTGGTGGTGGCGCTGTTTTAAATCGAGATAAATTGAATATGATGGTTCTCAACCTGTTGAAAGTTTCAATAAATTAAATATGATGAACTTGTCGAACTTTTAAACAGTTTTTAACCTGAATAAATTGGCTATTAAAAGTCAACCAATCAGGTGACGAGGATTTATTCAGGTGTTATATAAAACAAATAATGAATGTTTCACGTTCGTGCAATGGAAAGTATAATTTCATTCGGTGACAGAGGAAATGTTCCATTCTTCGCCTCGTGGA